GGCGGAAGTGGAAACCGAAACCTTTTTAGAGAGTCTGAGGTACAGTCGTCGCGTGTGGAGCTTGCGGTTATTTGGTGAGCTGGTGTGAGGGGATCCTGGAAGAGTCAGCTCCCGTCCTGGGTCGGGAGGGGTGGGGGCCTGAGGATTCGGGGCCGGAGGGCCTGGCGGGGCCCAGTGGGCAGGACTTGAGGGCGGAGAGGCCCGGAGGCCAACAGGGGCGGGGTCGCGGCGGGGCCCGAGAGGCGGAGGCAGGCATAGCTAGGAAAGGATCCGCAGACCTTGAACTCCCGGCTCCATCGCCCCCAGGCCTCATGGCGGTCCGAGCGTCTTTCGAGAACAACTGTGAGATCGGCTGCTTTGCCAAGCTCACCAACACCTACTGCCTGGTGGCCATCGGAGGCTCGGAGAACTTCTACAGGTGCGGCGGGAGCCCAGGGGCTCGCGGTGGGGGCAAGGGTACCTGGGAGTCAAGAGCTCCGGCGGGGTGAGGGCGCCGGCCCTTCCGCCCCGCGACCACCGAGTCCATGTCCCTACAGTGTGTTCGAGGGCGAGCTCTCCGATACCATCCCCGTGGTGCACGCGTCTATCGCCGGCTGCCGCATCATCGGGCGCATGTGTGTGGGTAAGGCAGGTGGAGGACGCCGAGGGAGGGAGTGGTCTCCAAGCACCATTAATCTCACCCCCGGAGGGAACCTGGAGTGATCTAGGGATTCCCAGGGTATCATCCATTATCTCTGGGCACTATAGAATCTCTCAGGCCAAGCGTCAGGAGGTCGGGGGCAATCCTCTAGCAAAGGCTACTGGATAATAGTAATACCAAATAATGTAAAGTGCTTTCACTTGTTCTCATTCCTTCTTTACAAAGACACTGAAAGGTAGGAATTACTGGCCTAACTTGACTGATGAGGAAGCTGAGACAGCCTAACTGACTAACTTCCATGCCTAGTTCCTAATGTGAAGGAGGATTTTTATCTCTCTCCCTTTTTTTTTAAGACGAGATTTTTGCTCTTTCGACCAGGCTGGAGTGCAGTGGCAAGATCATAGCTCTCTGCATCATCAACCTCTTAGACCCAATCCTCCCACCTCAGCCTACCAAGTAGCTAGGACCACAGGCTGGTGCCATCACACCTGGTTGATACTTAAATACAAGGACCCTGACCGTAGACACGTGGCTTCCCTGGCCTTGACCTCCTGGGCTAAAGTGATCCTCCTGCCTCAGTCCCTTAAAGTGTTGGGATTACTAGAGCCACTGTACCCAGCCGAGGATTTGTGTCTCATCTCTCTCTGCCACTGTGGGCAAGTTGTTTTCTCTTTCTAAGCATCCATTTCTGTCTCTCTAAAGATTAGCCAAGATTTGCGGTCAGTTACATTGAAACCTTAAATTCCCTTCACCACATCTCTACCCCACCTTCCTACCTGTCGCACTGTTTATCATGGTCCGTGGTCCTTTCTTTAAGCTGCATCTGTCTCCCATTACTACTGCCTGTTGTTTCGTAGTTTTGCTCATTGAGATCACTTTTAAAAGTCTGTTTCTTTATTTTTTTACGTTTATTTTAATTTTTAAAAATCTTAAGCCTGTTTGGGAGGCCGAGGTGGGTGGATCACCTGAGGTCAGGAGTTCGAGACCAGCCTGACCAATATGGAGAAACCCCATCTCTACTATAAAAATACAAAAATTAGCCGGGTGTGGTGGCGCATGCCGGTAATCCCAGCTACTTGGGAGGCTGAGGCAGGAGAATTGCTTGAATCCGGGAGGCAGAGGTTGCGGTGAGCCCAGATCATGCCATTGCACTCCAGCAACAAGAGCAAAACTCCGTCACACACACACAAAAAAAACCACACCCTGATCTCTAGCTATGCCCTTAGGACTTGAGCAAGTTCTGACAAGGGAAATTGTAGCTTGGTCGTTGGTGTATTTGATGATGGGCATGACCTGGAATTTCGAAATTGAGAGGTGTGTATTTGTAGTTTGTTCATTCTTGTTGCTGTATGGTGTGTTTTGTGTATGTATACCACAGTGCATTCATCCATTACATCGACAGTACATTTGGGCAGTTTTCACTTTGGTCTAGTAGGAATAGTGCTACTATGGTTTTTTTAGTGAACACAAACATATTTCTACTGGATATATAATACCTAAGAGTGGCATGGCAGAGTCACAGGTTATGTGACTATTTAGTTAGTAGTAGATGATGCTGGATAATTATCTGAAGTGGTTGATCATCTTACACTCCTGTCTCAGTGCATGAGAGTTCAGTTGCACCATATATCTTTGCCAACACTTGGAATTGATGACTTGTAAAAATTTTAGTCATTCTGGTGGCACGGTGGCTCACACCTGTAATCCCAGCACTTTGGGAGGTCGAGGGAGGTGGATCACCTGAAGTTAGGAGTTTGAGGCCAGCCTGGCCAACATGGTGAAACCCAGTCTCTACAAAAACACAAAAAATTAGCCATGAGGTGGTGTGCCTTAGTAATCTCAGCTATTCAGGAGGGTGAAGCAGAATTGCTTGAACCTGGGATGCAGAAGTTGCAGTGAGCCAAGATTGCACCGTTGCATTCCAGTCTAGGTGACAGAGTGACACTGTCTCAGAAAAAAAAAAAAAAAGTATCCATTCTGCTATGTGTGTAGTGTTATTTCAGTTTTTAAGTAGAAATACACAACTAATGCCAAAAGCTCTTCCTGTTAGTGTCCCCCCCCCCCCCCCCCCCCGTTGATGATGGTGAAATAGGCAGTGTTTGTTGGGACTCCTGGGTAGTCTCTGGCCTGCCCTGGGTGTTATACGAATCAGTGGGTTGTGGGTTGGAGGGCTGGGCTCTGGGCCTAAAGCTTTCCTGGGAAAGCTGATTGGGCTGGGCTGTTGGGTTGTATCCTCAGCCCCTAGGGCTCAGCAGGCATCTTGTGTATTCATGGTTCACCTTTGTTCCGCGCCCCCCCCACCCCGCTCTAATTTGGTTTTCTCTAGGGAACAGACACGGTCTCCTGGTGCCCAACAATACCACTGACCAGGAGCTGCAACACATTCGCAATAGCCTCCCAGACTCAGTGCAAATTCGGCGGGTGGAGGAGAGGCTTTCAGCCTTGGGCAATGTCACCACCTGCAATGACTACGTGGCCTTGGTCCACCCAGACTTGGACAGGGTGAGGCAGCCCAACCTGACCCAAGTGTCACAGGGCTATCCTAGTCATTGGTCTGTCACTGATCTTTCCTAACAGGCAGGAATTAGGGGTCTCTTCTGTGGTTTCTTTTTATATATGGGTTCTTGAATTTCAGGTACTCATTAGAATAATGATAACAGATGCCTTATCAGTGTCAGAAAGAAGCTGGGGAGGGTATGAATCCTTCAGGATTGGGGAGATTGAACCATCCAGTCCTGTGGTGATTGACTGTTGAACTTTTGACTGTGGGTGAGAGGGAAAAAAAGTGACATGGAGACCTGCCTCCATGCATGAGTATTAGGGGCTTCACAGCTGGCCCTGACTCTGCTCTAAGCTGTACTTCCTCCTTTCTCTGGGTGAGGCTTTCATATGAGATACATTGGAGAAATGAGGGGCACAGGGAGCCAAGGCCTGGGTGCTTCTGGGCATGGAGAGCCCTGGTTCTGGGGCTGTAAGTTCTGGACCCTGAACACAATACCTTTAACTGATAGGAGACAGAAGAAATTCTGGCAGATGTGCTCAAGGTTGAAGTCTTCAGACAGACAGTGGCCGACCAGGTGCTAGTAGGAAGCTATTGTGTCTTCAGCAATCAGGGAGGGCTGGTGCATCCCAAGACTTCAGTTGAAGATCAGGATGAGCTGTCCTCTCTTCTTCAGGTCCCCCTTGTGGTAAGCCTTCCTGTTCTCTGAACCCCGTCTCCTGCTGAGGCAGATCCTTTTGCCCTGTGTTCGGGAGTCTGAGTCATTACCTGCTGCAGTTTGGGACTGGAGCTGCAGGTCAGGGAGGAGCAGGGTTTGGGGAGAGTCCTCACTGAGGAGGGAGAGACTGGTGCCGTGACTCACCCTGAGTCCTTCCCTTGGCAGGCAGGCACTGTGAACCGAGGCAGTGAGGTGATTGCCGCTGGGATGGTGGTGAATGACTGGTGTGCCTTCTGTGGCCTGGACACAACGAGCACAGAGCTGTCAGTGGTGGAAAGTGTCTTCAAGCTGAATGAAGCCCAGCCTAGCACCATTGCTACCAGCATGCGGGATTCCCTCATTGACAGGTACCTGGGGTCTCCCCTTTCTTCTGCCCAGGGCTGGGCGTTAACTTGGTTTTTGCGAGTATGGGGAAAAATGTCATCTAGAATGGGAGCCTACCAGTTTGTTCTGGTAGCTTCTCGAGTGTGAGAGCATATCTGCATACTGCTAAGCACATAGAGCCAGCACTTTTTTTTTTTTTTTTTTTCAATTCACCATGATATTAAAAAATTTGTTGAGCATCTGCTAATCCTCATCTTTGTGGCTTTGTTCAGGGCTAGGATATGCAGCTGCTTGAGCAGCTCTTCAGAGCTGATCTGGGGGTGAGGGCTGAGGCAAGCACCTCAAGGGTGAGGCGGGCTCTGTGAAACAGCTACTGACTGTGCACTTTCCTTTCTCTTCAGCCTCACCTGAGTCACCTTCCAGGTTGTTCCGTGGGCTCTTGGCTCTGGACTTTGGCACCTTCTCCATGCTCCACCCAATCTGTACTGGATGCTGGCAGGGAGGTGGCAGAGAGCTCACTGGGACTGAGTGGCTGGGCACCCAGCCCTTTTCCACCTGTGCTCATCGCCTGGATCTATCATCATGTAAAAACCTGCTCTGTTGTGCTGGCTGGCAAGCCCTGTGGCTGCTGGCTAAGGGTTCTGCTGTCCTGTGCCACCCCATTAAAGTGCAGCTCCCCTTGGCCATTCTGAATGTGATGTTTGGGGCCCTCAGCCTGTGTACAATCCCCACACTCTCCAGTTGTTCCAGCATTCTGGGAAGATAGGGTGGGATGGCCACAATACATACCCAGTTCACCACCTCCACACACGCCATTCCCTTCACCATCATCAGGATGGGAGGCCTCATCCTGGAGCAAGAAATACTCTGCACTATAGTTCTCACGTTTTTATTTTCTTTTTGAGGCACGGTCTCGCTCTTGTCACCCAGGTGGGAATGTGGTGACACAATGATGGCTCACTGCAGCCTTGACCTTCTTGGCTCGATTATCTATCTATCTATCTATCTATCTATTATTTATTTATTTAGTAGAAGCAAGGTCTCACTATGTTGCCCAGGCTGGTCTGATACTCCTGAGCTCTAGTGACCTACCCACCGCCTCAGCCTTCCAAAGTGCTGGGATTACAGGCGTGAGCCACGGCCCCCAACTTTGCTCCAGTCTTCTCTGTCCTTGAAAGGCTGAGAGTCTGTTCCGACTTTACTCGGAGCGAGGTGAGGCCCCGAGAGAGCTCTGGGGCATCCATCTTCTGGGCATTCTGACTATGGAGGATGGAGGTTGCAGGTCCTTACCTGGGTGGGCGTGGGGCGGGGCACCAGGTTCACAGGTCCCTCCGGGCCCGGGCGCCTTAGAGGCAGCGGGGGCGCAGTCCGTCCCTTTGGTGGGCGGGGCCTCGAAGTGCTGGGGCGGGATTGGCCCCGGAGCCCGGGCTCGAGTCCCGTCTTCGCTCCAACGCGCGGGGGGCGAGGTCGGTGCGCGGTGACGTCACGACGCCAGCTCCTCGCGTCGCCGAGGTGGACTCTGGGAAACCAGCGGGTGTGGCCGTACCAGGTGAGGGCAGGGCCGGGGCGGGGCCCTAGCGGGGATTACCGGCGACTCAGACCTAAAGGGTTTCTCTTCTTGCAGACCATGGGGGCTCAGCTGAGCAGCGGCTGCGGCGCCCCGGACCCTGAGCAGCCCCAGCCCCAGCCCCAGCCCCAGCCCGCGGCGCTGGAGGGCGCGGAGCGGCCCCGGCCTCAGCCTCAGCCTCGGCCTCAGCCTCAGCCTCAGCCTCAGCCGCCGCCCCAGCCCCAGCCCGAACCCGGCCCGTGGGGGCCGCTGGATGATGTGCGCTTCCTCATCGCCTGCACTTCCTGGTACTGACGGCGCCCTCCTAGAGGATGGCGCCCTCCTAGAGGATGCTGCCCGTCTGCCCGCCGTTCCCTGTGGTTCTTGTCTGCCTCGTCTCTTGTCCCCACGTCTCTGTCTCTTATACTCCCTCCCGCGGCTCCCCAGAGGCGGCAGAGAATTCGAAGAGGTCGCCGGGGACTGGAATGAAGTCCCGGCAGGGCCGCCTTCGCAGCCTCGACCCCAGCCTGCTTCCCCGCCTGCAGCCAGACCCAGCTCATCCCTTCGTGCCCACCCCACCCTTTCTCCGGCTGGCTGGGTCCGGGGCAGCCCTGTCACTGGCCTCCAGAGGCAGGGCAGGCCTCCTGGTAAGCCCGCAAAGCTGCTGACCTCCTGACCTTGCCTGCTTTCATTAATATATTTATTGCTGGGAACCGTGCTCTTGACTATGTGTCCCAGGTCATGGCACCAGGGGCCTTGACTTCTGAGAAGCCCGTGCCACAACCACCCTCCCCATACTCTTGAGGGGCGCCGCTCCCCATCCTGGATCCTAAGGAGGCATCATGAGGCTGTGTTCCTGGAACCCCAATAACCCTGGGCCTCTAGGGCCAGCCTTTTGTAGAGGGAGGATATCTGACTGCCGGTCTGGCTGATGAAATGCATGGGGCAGCTCCCAGATACTCCAAACCGCCCGGCTCTCCCCCCAGAAGCTTCTTAAGGTCACTCTTGGAACTTGATCTTTGTTCCCTCATCCCAGGGAAATGACACACTCTGTATTTCTGTTTTATTTAGAAATGATTTAAAAAACATTATACAAAGGCTGATCAGTTTAAAATGTGACTGACACTGAAATGCTGTGATGTCCCCCAGGCTGAGGGGAAGCGAGGCTCTGGGGCCCCCAGTTCTTTGCCCCTCTGTCCACCCTGTCCTGGGGTGATGGACAAACAGATGACCACAGGCAGGAGAATCTGAGATTAGAAGCCTCTAGGCTGAGCCCTCTGGGCCTGGCCCCACATCCCTCACCTCTGTGGCCTGGGCTGCCTGCCTCCATCTCCTGCTCATTCTCAGCTGGCCTACCAGGAGCCAGCGGGGAGCCTGGCGGGAGGCGGGGGTGCCTAGAGCTTTCAAGAAGTGAGAGCACCAACCTGAGGAGTGGACAGGGACCAGGAAATGGGGGAAGGGAGGCCAGGAAGAGGTGGATACAGGAGACACTTCTCATCTCAGAGCCTAGAGAGGGCCACAGATGGGGACACAAGGCCCAGCCAGCCCACTGGATGGTCTGAGCAAGTAACAACCTCTCTGTGCTTCATCTGAGGGCACGGTGAGAATTACCGTTGGCCTCCCAGGGCCTACATGAGTTTCATGTGAGTTGACAGATGTGAGCTAATAAAGTGCTTTGCAAAGTATAAAACACTGTACAAACCTATGAATCACTAATATCTCCGCAGTTGTTCCCTGCCTGTCCCAGGGAGCCTGCCCTTGGCCAAAATGAGAAAAGGATGATGACGGGACACAGCGGACCCACATGGGCACCTCTGGGACAAGAGATTTTGCTTGAGACAGCTCCCAGGGAAGCAGGAGTCCCTGTCTGTGCTACAGGGTAAGCCTACCCCAATCCCAGAGACCACAGGGTCAGGGGCAAGGCCCATGCAGGCTCAGCGAGCAGGGGTGGCATCCAATACCTGGCCAGCACGCTGGAGACTGCCTGACACCTCTTTTTAGCTTTGGCAGAGAGCCAGTGGGCATCACTGAACCCACTGGTCTTGCCTAGGGCTCCTCAGTGACAAGCAGGACTGCCTCCGCTGCACTGGAGCCAGGCAAGCCGAGCCCTAGGAACTCCTGCCAGAGACCGTGACGGGTGAGCCAGTGAAGGTCAAAATGGGAGGCCCCTCAGCTTGGGGCCGCTACCAGTAGGGGTGCCCTTCTCCTAAGAGCAGTGTGGGAAGATGGCCCCAGTGAGCACGGTCAGCAAGGGCCAAGCTCTGGGAAAACACTGCTTCTGCAAGACATTGAATCGGCCTCGGGGTAGTTGGGAGTAGGGGTACTGAGCATTTCAGAAGAATGCCCTGGGCCCCTTCCGAAGGACTCCCAGGCCCTGCCACTGTTGGCCCTGCTGCCGTCTCCACCTCACCTACCTAGTGAGGCTGAGCCCCAGGCCGCAAGTGACAGGCTGGAGCAAAGCTGGGGAAGGGGACAACAGAGGGGAGTGGAGGACGGTTACAAACTCAGATCTGCCTCCAGAGATGGGGTCAGCTTCTGCCTCAGCTCTGTAGCCTCAGGAGCAGGGCTCAGCTACTGGGTTGTCTGGGCGCTAGAGTGGCCTTAGCAGCACCTTGGTCCTTGTCGCCTGGGGAAGGGCCGCTATGCTGGCCTTATCACCAAGACAGTCACCTCTAGTTCACCTAAAGCCTCAAGCAGCCTTTGCAAAATGGGACTTTAAACAGTAGTGACAGGACATTAAAATATTCACGATGTGACAGCTGGGTCCTTGTCAGACCCAGCTGGGCCACAGCCCTGCCTGCAGCATGTGACCCTAAATCCTGGGTCCCAGAAGAGACCCTGGCAAGTGGAGCAGGTTTCCTGAGGGATCTGCTGTCTGCCAGCAGGGAAACCCAGGCTTTTTGCCCACTGTGTCAGAAGCAGGGGTCCTGTAGCCTTGGAGGACAGTAGGGTGGGGGTGGGGGGACATCTGACCAGCAGGTGTTGGCAAAAGGGGACCAGGACTGGTGGCATCTCCCAGATGGGGGCTGAGAGCTAGTGCTGGCTTCCCACAGAGGGTGCTGGGTCCCAGCGAGGAATGGAGCTGTGGTGCCTCATGGATACCACGGGATGCCGTGACCACAGGGGCTCCTCCTGGCATGGTCCCTGTCTCCAGATGGAGCCTGGCCTATTCCCTTAAGTAGGGAGTAGTTTACCCAGGACAGAAGGCTGGCAGCTGGGTGCCAGACACCCACCCTGGGGCACAGCCCCCATAATTCCCTGTCCCACACTCAGCCTAGGCCAATGCACCCACCACTTCAGCTGTATGACCCCAGCCTAGGGCCCTGCTGGCCCTGGTGAGCAGTGGCCAGAGCTGCCCCTCAGACCCTGGTGAGGAAGGGCCTGGCTGGCTAGACCGAGTGTACAGAGAGGGCTTTGGGCTGCTCATACCCACTCCTGGACTGGCCGCTTATAGTAGGTGACAGGCTGAGGGCCTGTCTTGTTCTTGAACTGGAAGATGGTGTAGACCAGCACCAGGATACAGAGGGACAGGATGCAGGGGATGACCACGGCCACGGCATTCACGGAACCTGGCACATCATTGATGGTCACCATGATGTCCACGTCGTCCTGGGGCAGCCGCCGCTCCTTCCGCCGCTCCACCTCCTTCTGGTTGCAGCCCATCCAGTCACGAAGGATGTTCCGTGGGTAGCCTGGCTCCACGCTCAGTTTCTGGTTGTCAAACTTCCAGTAGTCCCTGCCCTTGTAGAAGTAGGTGTAATCTGCAGAAATACAGCCCAGTGTCACCGCTCCCAGACACTTCCTGTGCCTGCTCTGGGGCAGCATGAGAGGGAGGGCATCAGGCGCTGTGGCAAGGGAGGCAAGGTGGGCACACCTGGAGGTTTGGGGTGTAGTGCTTGACTGAGTCATGGAGTGTGAACCTGCAGAGGGGGGTGCCAGGCACCTGGAGTGGCTTGCCTGTCATCTCACAGGTGCTGGGAAACCAGAGGGAGAACTGGGACATGGTTCACTTTGTGCCACCCAGACAGGACCCTTTGCATGCAGTCTGGGTCACAGCTCTGTTACTCTGTACCCACAGGCCCCCCCGCCCTGCCCATGTGAGTGCCATTAAGCCTCAGCCCAGCTCCTGCTTGAGCCAAGAGAGGCAGGGAGCAAGATTTCTCCTGTTGACAGCAAGACACTACCTCTCTGCAATTATGGATTTTTTTGGCTTGGCACATATCACTTCACAATGCAGATGCAGGATCCTTGCGAGTCTTATGGGGGAGGGGTGGGCAGCCCTGCCAGTCACTCCCTGGGCAGCCACCCCATGGCTCCAGCAACAGCCTGAGCAGCCCAGCCAGTGGGCAAAGCAGCTTGCTCAGGCTGTCTTCATTGGCCAGCTCCCCACCCTGGCTAGGACTTTCATTGGTCTAGGTCCTTGATGTCACCTGTCTCTGAGGCTCCCCAAAAAGGGAGATCTTGTGTGTAAAGCATGAGGTATACAAAACAGCCAACAAATAGTGGCTGTGGCCATTGACTTTCTTATGAGTGATGCCTCCTTGGAGAGCCCTTCCCAGCTGTCTCTAGTCTCTAACATGGCCCCATCTAGCTCACTGCTCTCTCCCAGCATTTCTTTCTTTCTTTTTTTTTTTCTTTTTCAAAGACAAGGTCTCATTCCATCGCCTAGGCTGGAATACAGTGGTGCAGTCAAAACTCACTGCAGTCTCAAACTCCTGGTCTTAAACAGTCCTCTGGCCTCAGCCTCCCAAGTACCTGGGGCTACAGGCACATGTCACCACATCCAGCGCATTTTTGTATTTTTTTTTTGTGTGTGAAGATGGAGTCTCACTATGTCACCCAGGCTGGTCTCGAACTCCTGGCCTCAAGTGATCCTCCCACCTTGGCTTCCCAAAGTGCTGGGAGTCTTTCCCTTATAGCATCTGTTGCTACCTTGCTTTATGCACCTGGACTGGGACCTATGCAGGTCCTGTTCATTGCCACGCCCCCAGCTCCCACCACACAAGCTGTCTGTTATTATGGAGTGAATGAATTATTCTTGTCAATCCACATAAACCGAAACCCACAAGATGATGATGATGATGACTACAACAGCAGCTAAAACATATAGCATGGATTGTGTGCTAGGCATTATTTCTAAGTATGCTATATAATTTATCTTATTTAATCCTCACAAAACCATTATATAAAGGTAGGTCCCATTATTATCCCCATTTTATAAATGAGAAAACGGAAATTAGAGATTTGCTCAGATTCATAGTGAGTGGTACTATAGTGGTTGTGAACCCAGCCATTCCAGCTCTAGAGGCTGTGCTTTTGACCATATTAATGGAGATCTACTTAACATACAGTCCTGGAGACTCACTCTGCATCTGGCCAGGCTGGCTGCTCCTCCTGAGAAGCTCATAGGCTGGTGGGGAGACAGGCTGTGAGTGACTGATGGCAGTTGTGGGGGCTGGTGGCCAGCATGGCTTCTAGGAGGAGTTCAGGAAACACAAATTTAAAAAGTTTTTCTCTTGATGCAGTGGCTCACACTTGTAATCCCAGGGCTTTGAGAGGCCGAGGTGGGAGGGTTGCTTGAGGCCAGGAGTTAAAGACCAGCCTGGCCAACAGAGTGAAACCTTGTCTCTACAAAAATTGTAAATTAGCCAGGCACAGTGGCATGTGGCTGTAATTCCAACTACTCAGGAGGCTGAGGCAGGAGGATCACTTGAGCCTAGGAGGTTGAGGCTGCAGTGAGTTATGATCATGCCACTGCATTCCATCCTGGGCAACAGAGTAAGACCTTATCTCTTGGAATTAAAAAAAAAAATTTTTTTTAAGGTTTTATTTTCATCTTCTTGCCCTTAAGCCCTGTGAAAAGGTGCCTTTGAAACATGCATGCCCATCATTGCTTTTCAGATTTGGTGACTCAAGGAGTCCCTGGAGTACACCTGAGGATAACTATTTGAGAGACGCTGTCTGAAGGAGTCAAGTCAGCCTATGACATCTCTCTGTTGTGAATCATTCCTGCAGATGAAAAAGAGTAACTTGGCAGCTGGTAAGTGAATTAATGGACCATGTGAATGTGGGGAGATAGGAGGCAACTGTCTCCCTCCAGGTGTCTTCT